TCATGATGGATAATGCTACCGAAAAGCACCCAAAAACCATTCTCCCAATGGGCAATGGACACTCTAAATGTGGGGCTTAGCCAAAAAGTTGGTCGTTCGCATTATGTGGGTAGCAATAAAAGCCATTTTAATTGGTTCTAAATGAGTGAGGTCCACGCAATTGCGCAGACAAGACATAATACCGCACATAAATGTGGGGGACTTGTGGGCCGGGAAGGGTTCCTGGTTCCTGCTTCCTGCCAAATAAAAGCCCATATCAGATCGGGGCCACAAAGGCCAAATTATTCACACTGATTACATGAAGTCTTCGCTCGGTTTGGCATAAAATAAACCATGCTGGAAGAGTAAACCGTTATAATTACGATGTATTAGACGGGCGGAGCGAATGACAAGTATTTGCCAAATCGCCCAACCACCCACAGAATCATACACACACACAGATACACACGCACACACAAACATCCATGTATACTATGTATAACAAGCACATTTGCAGGCAGCATATGGAAGGCACTAAAAACAAATTGGGGGTCCAAAATAGCACGGGGCTCTAGATAAAACGAAAATAATCAGCAGGCAGTCAGGCCGAAGGACTCGCACACACAGACACTTGCAGAAATGGTAGTGTCATAAAAATAAATAACCCAAAGACGAGCGGCAGGAATGGGGAGGTGTTGGCCATGTTGATTTAGGATAAAGTAAGCAACAAAACCGAGAGTTCTTCGATAGCAATTTAAATAAATAAGAACGAGCCTCCGAATATCTATCTGGCCATAATTGAAATCACTGGGCCACCGAGCAGCCGAGCAACCGAGTGTTGCCAACGTGATTTGCATGCGTGTTAGTGCGAGTGTGTATGAATAATTTATGCGCATTTAATTCGATTGTTGTGGCACAATCACAAGAGGAAGGAAGTGGCAGCCTGGAAGGAGGTGTCACCTGCTCGGCCGGGTACCCCAAACATAATTTAATCATAAACATAAAATAGTTTTGTCATGTTTTATTATTCAACCGCCAGCCGGGGAGTGAGGAAGCGGGAGTAAGAGGTCCTTTTTAATGCCCTCCAGTGCGACTCCTCATCAACCGCTGGTGTGTCCCTTGTTGTGGCTTTCTTTTTATGACATTTGGCATTTCCCTTCCCCCTTTTCCTTTGTCTGGTTTTATTTGTGTCCCGCCTTTTATTGAAATTTTTTTTGTTGAGCTTTGTAGCCAACCAAGGTAGTGGCGGAGAGTTCCCTGACTTATCCCTGTTCTACTTTCTATGATTGTTATTTTGCTGCTGTTTCCGTGCATTCGGAAATAAAATAAATAATGACTGCCATTACGGTGCACGTTTTGTGGGTAAAAAAGCCCGGGGGAAAAGTTTTTCATGGGCTGCCTACTGACATTTCTGCGGTTAATTATGGCCAGGTTCTTTGTGGTTATCTGAATACGCAATCAAGGCCCGAAACTCGGCTTCTATTTTAGGGAAGAGAAGAGGTCGCCCATTTTGTGGAGTACTAATGCCCCATAAAAGCTGCAATTTTCTGCACCATTTCTACAAAGCAGACAAAAGTGTCTCTAATCAATTCCAGTCCGTTGGTGGCAGGCAGCCATACCTCAGCCGCAAAACCAAATTAACTTGGAAACAAACTATCCGGCAAAACGAAACTGTCACATCGCATCAGGCCGTGGAAAATCGCTTGAAAATGCACGTAGGTTTGTCAAGTTGCAGTAGTGGCGTAAAAAAAAAAAAAGAAATGAAGAAAAATCGAACGTCCTTGAGTGGAAAGTGCGCCAAACCAGGCAGAAGGCAAAAACAATTTGCGGCCAAAATAGGGAACAAGAAAGAGAACATCGCGTGACAACACGAAGGCAAATACAGGCGACTACCGCTCAACTGATGAGCAGGAGGATCCATCCGGAGTGGCTCCCGGAGGCCAAATGGATAACCCCGGGACGGAAGACGCAGCCACACCGGATGACAGCGAAATGAGTAGAAAATTAACAAAACGCGCATAGATAAAGTGCTGGGGGAGTGGAAATTTGTCCTGGAAAATATGCACAACCGTTGCCGTGGCGTGGCGTTCCATGGCGCGGTTGTCAAATGCAAATGCAAATACAAATTTTCGGTGTGTTCTTGATGAAGTTTCAGCTGCAGCAGGAGGTGGAGCAGGAGCACTGACGGAGGAATGAAAGGGGAATGCAGTGAATGAGTGGCTGAATGGGTGGGTGAGCACTCAAGTCGACTTGTTAAAAACTTCTTTGCTACTTTAGACGACCAGCTAGCAAGTCAGTCAGCCAACCAACCTACCAGCCAGCCAGCCAGCCAGTCATTTCGAATGCTTTTTTGGAGACTCTTGTTTACCCAAGGCGGTGTCCTCGTCCTCGTTCACGTGCTGGCATTTTGTATCGATTGCCCCGAAGACTCCTGTCGTCCGGAAAAGGAAAAAGGTGAGGGAAAGCCACGGACACGGGACTGCAAGGAGAGAACGGGGGGAACTGGGCGACTAGAGGGGTTCGAAGCGTCGAGGTTGAGCGGAAAATCTTATGCAAATATTATGTTTGCATTTTCCACTTTATATTTAACTTGCCTCACTTCACTTTTTGTTTTCCTTCAATTCGCTTTGCTTCGCCGTTGTTCTTTGCCGCTTGTTATTGTTGTTAAGACAATAAAGAAGTCGGGTCGAAATTGACGTGGAAACTAAATTGTGGACGTGGATTGTCACTTGCTACGATTTTAATGAATTCTATTGATTTTGCTTGGCAGCAGGTCGAGAGTGCTTTCATGTCGGGAGTTTGTTTTTCCAAGCAAAGTGGGTAAAAACTATCGGTCAGTGGGTGACACAAGTGGTCATTTGAATATTGCATATCTTTTCAAACGATCAGGGTCTGAAAGTTGAGGTGGATTCATTTTTAACTTGAGTAAAACGACCTCTATGAAGGTCTGTCTGGTAATCGTTTCGATACTGTAATTTTATTTAATTTGACTTTAATATTTCATTGAGTTTGCAAGTACAATTAAGTTCTTATCAAGTTTAAGCTAATAAATTCAAATTTTAAAGCTTTTTATAGTATTTGGTACCATTATTTCTAACCTCCTGATGTTTAATTGTTTATTTAAATACAAAAAACTCTTTCAACATCGTCGATATTTTCTCTAACCCTCTTGTTCTTGTGTTTACATAAGCAAATTGGATAAATTCCTTTCATAAAGGGGAGCCCAAAACAAGAGCCCATATATTTCGGAAGGCATCTAAAAAGGGCGATCCTTTTAACAAATCGCTTTGCCTTTCGAAGCGTCCTTCGAGTGCAATCGCATCACGAGCACCATCATCCGCAAAGGAGAGATGAAAGGGGCCACCTTCGACTCGCTCCCCGTTCCCCTTCGAGTGGAATCGTTGGCACAGTGGCATGTTCATTATATCGGACACAAAGATAGTGCCGGGCCTAATTTGCTGGCTGGCAGCGGCACCTCCCACGCCCCACGCCCCATGCCCCACACCCCCATAATGTGCCGACAATGAGCCTGTAGCTGTGGCACATCGCCGCCCACTTATTCCTGCAACTCATGGAGGCGGCGCCAAGTTCATTCAGTTTTCCCATTCATTGATGGCAGGCGGGCGGTAAATGGCTGCAACTCACAACAGTGGCAACAAAAAAGAGGAACACACACAGACAAACACAGGGAATGCGGCTGGGATGTGGCAGACTTTTGGCCTCCGAATGGAAATGGCAATACAACAGGGCTATGGAGGATCAGCCAAAGTTTGTGTCTGTGTCCAGGGCAGCAAATAAAAAAAAAAAAAAACGAAAAGAACAGAACGTGGAAACTCTGAACCAACTGGCTGTCTGAGTTATTGTGGCTTTGTGCCACCACCGCTCCTATTTGGAATCCCCCTTGCCAGCTGTCTGATGTTGCTGCTGCTGCTGCTGCTGCCGTTGTTGCAACTTATGCTGCTGTTGCTGTTGCTGCTGTGGCAGCTTTGACACTTGGCAGCGTTAATAGTGCGTTGGCCTGGACAGGATCCGCTGGTGGTTCAGTTTGTCGGCCTTTTTGATGCGGCCCGTCGTCTGTCGACCTCTTCTTCTCCAGCAACAAATTGCCCGGCCAACACACAGACAGACACAGCGGTGGCAACAACGACAAAAACGACAACGACAACGGCAACGACGACAGCGACAAAATGTTGACAGTGTCGCCTGTTTGTCTGGCTCGAAACAGCCGGGCAAAGCATTTAATTTCATTTTTATTCAAAGTGAAATACGAAAATTAAAAATGGCATTTAATGCGCAACTTTGTCGCCCGTCATAAGCACTGAGACATGTGAAATGCGCCGCAGTGCAGCAGTGCCGATGCCACGGGAGCGTCATTTTGGAGTGGGCGTGGCACGAACAGGTGGCTCTATATATTTTAGTTGGTTGCCGCGGTGTGTGGGCCTTAATGTTTGTTTGAGCATCTCTAGAGTGTCGTTAAATGCTTGATTTAATGAGTTCTGGCCGTGGTTGTGTGTGTGTTTGTGTGAGAGTGTGTGTGTTTCAAGATCGGAAACGTTGGTTAATGGGATTTTTGGAGGGCGAAGGAAGGGTTCTCTGGGATTGGGAGACCGCTAGGAAAACAACTAAAGATGATGCACAGCCTGGGAAATCACGCATACGCCACGTTCAGCCTCGGCCTCACAACGCTAACTAAAATATACGTTTAGCAAACAGTTACAAAGCCAAAAAAGATTCTAAAAAGACGCATGTAGGCATGCTCCAGGATTTTCCAACTTTTTGGACACAAAAAGCAATTAACTCTCCATGTTTTCTTAGTGTCTCTGTGTGTGTGTGGAAGTGTGTGTGGGAGTGTGTAGATGGTGTAAATGCGCGTGTCTATGACAGAGAGGTATTCTGAGTGTGTGGTGTGTGTGTGTGTGTGTATGTTTTGGTGGGCGAGGGTGTGGGTGCTCGAGTGTCGATGTATCGGTGCATCGCTTAACGACTAGTTTAGAAAAAGGTAGTAAAAAATGTGAACGCACTTGGTAGAATCTCACCTGTGCTCAGCGTATAGTCCCAGCTGGTGTCGGGCTCGTTCTTGTACACGTTCAATTTCTCCGGCTGTAATTAAAACGATCCTCAATGCACTTGCAATTTTGCCCAATTATCAACGATCTATTTGATCAATCTCACCTTGGCGTAATCGATTTTCAAGGTGCAGCATCCGGCGTAGATGTCGGCTCCATTTAGATTCTCGCGCGCCCTTGTGGCCGCATCCAGATTATCGAACTCAACCATGGCCTGGACTCCATTCTTTTTGAATATGACAATGCGCAGCACTTGGCCATGTGGATGACAGATTTTGTGCAAGACATCCTGGAATTAATTGGAATCGATCGAAAAATTAGAAATGAATGCAATAAACAGAGAAAAATTATAATCAATTTATACATTTATTGTTTCTGTGCAATTTTAATAATACAAATTTAGTTTAACATTATTACTTAAATTTAAGAATTATCTCAAATATGGTAGTAAACCAATTTCTAGAACTTTTTTTGAGTACATGTTTTATTTTAGCTTGAACAGCAGACAGGTGCTCAAAACCACACAAATAACCCTTGATTGCTGAATTGATCGAATCGAGGTGAATGGTTAATTGGAATTTAAATGCTTTGCCAAACATTTGCCCACTCATCGTTTTCCAATTGACCATTGTGGGCAATTTCACTTCGTTTACTCACAATTTTATTTGTGTACTTGCATTTGTCTTGCATAATTGGATTTTCGCATTTGGCCGGCCAAGGGAGTCAAAGGAGGAGTTCCTTTCGTGTTGGCTATGTGAAGCTCAAAAACTCATTAGCATAATTTAATAAGCACTTCCCGCTGTACTATGCCAAAGAAATTTCCCAATTAACATTCATAAATTTTCGGAAATTACGTTAATGAGTTTCGAGTGTGCTGAAGAGAGCCTGCCAGCAGCAAAAGCCAGGGCGTGTCAAGTCTAGGCCAACAAGAATGAAATAAGAATACCTCGGTAGCAGCGTCTGGGAATTGATGGCAAATTATAATGAGCATTGGCCGTTGGCATGGAAATTTATGGAAAATTTAAGCCGCCAAATTTTCGTTCACCACGCCCCAAAAAACTCGACCCACTCCGTATCTGCCAGCGACTTCTATTTATTCACTTTACAGGCGAAATGTTCGCAAGACTTGCTCGGTGGAAGGGGCTTCCTTTGGGTTGCTTAGGGGCCATAATGGGTTAAATGTTCAATTTGTTGTTACTCCGGCACCCTGGAAATCTGGGGGTAAGAGGCAAAGTGGCAAAGCCGCTTTGTCTTCGCCTATTTTTTGGGGAGCAGCTATATTTTGTTATTCATGAAATTCATCGATAAGTCCTCTGGCTCATGAAATTTTGAATCTTGTTGAAAACTTTTAACATTGATTTGCATTAGACATCGGAGAGTGGAAGGAAAAGAGGCGGCTGCCGAGGGTAGCGATTTGATTAGATGAAATTCCGTCGAATTTTTTTGGTCTATGCAAATTCGCAGTGGCAAATTGTTTGGGGCAACTTTGAATTAGGGGATGAATGACTTTGGTTGTATATCGTTAAGATTGTTGAGAGCTGCGAGACCATGACCGTGTTTTGATAATGGGTTTATTAATGAAACACTCAGAACCAAAACTCCAACAAAATAATAAAACCCAACAAATCTTTTTTTCACCACTCACTGGTTACAATGTACGAATATTTCGTTCTCTGTACACTTTTTACAGTCCTTCCTCTAGTTTACACGTCCTTTTTTTCCAAGTCATATAACTGATAGTCATTGTGCGCGTTCTATTACTTAATTATTAATACAGCTGTCAGCTTCCCCCCTCTTCTCTTCCATCAATATTTTTTGTTTATTTTTTTCACCCCAGTTCGCACACACTTAACACTTTTCCTGTCCCCTCCCCTCTGTCACTATCAACCGCAAAAGTTTTCTAATTAGTTTTTGTGTGCTCAGTGCGCTTTATAGTTGTGCATTCTGCACATGGAAATACAGGAAAACAGAAGTGCCAAGCAGAGGAAGTCGACGGAAAGTGTGAGCTGCTAAAAGGAAATGGAGTGGGAAGTGGAAAAAAAGGGAGAGAGAACAGCAGTGAAAATACGTTCCGTTTTTTTCCCCCTCATTTTCATCTGGAATGACATTTTACAATTCGTTGCTGGCAATGCGGGAGAGAGAGCTGCATTTAATGCGATTTGCCAGAGGTCCTGCAGCAGGACAAGCGTCGTAAATGGGAAAGTCAACGGAAAAGCCTCGGTGGAATGGAGATGGTGAGCAGGAAACTGGAAGACTGTCGCTCGATGGCGCACAAAATGTCTGCAATTATTGTAAATAGCGCAATCATCGAGCAAGTCAAGAGCGTCGCATCCACGAGGAAGAGCCGGAAAAGGGAAAAGAAAGTGTGGGAGGGTCAGGAAAAATTACTCCTGTTTATGAGATCAGCTTATTGAATAAATGAGGCGCGTGCTCCAGCAGCTTTACCCCCGATTTTCCCTTTCCTTTTCGTCGACGGTCTGATGGCCATTGGGCATGTAAAAGGAAAGGATATTCGAGGCGCTGCCCACTCATTGTTTGCCGGTAATTTGAGTCCATTAGTTGAATGGCAATGGAGCTCCAGAGACGAGGAGCAGTTGAATGATGGAAGCTGATTAGAGCAACTCCTCGGGGAATCGTCAACGTTCAAGGGAAGTGTCAACTCTCGAGGGTCCTCGATTGATAAATTGGACAAAGCGGTGTTAGTAAGTCATGTTTGGATCTGCGAAATTTGTGGTTTGTACTTACACTCAAAACAATCCAAATAAAAACAAGAAAGAAAGCTAGCTTAGGCGAGCTGAAGCTTATATAACCTTGCAGTCATCAAATATGTCGAACAAAATCCATAAAGGGTAAACAGCATCGAAGCTATTTCGCTATGAGAGATAAGTTTACATAGACCGCAGGCCAACTTAGAGATCACATCACAAAAATGTGAAAAAACCGACAAAAAAAATCGAAAGAAAACTAATGATGCAGTATGTCAAACGAAAATCGGACAACATTAGAAAAATTATGTGCTTTCAATTGCTGGTTTTATGACATTTTCCGAAAAAGTAAAATTTAAATAAATAACTTGACTTTCAAATTTTTCCAGGCACAATAATTTTTAACAATCTTATACAAAAAATCAAATTTATGAATGAAATCTAATAAATAAACTGGTTATGATCAAAGCCATTTGCAACAAAATAAATGCTTCATTTGTTTTACTGAACATTAAATTGGACAGGCAAATAAATCTCTCAAGACTGCAAATGAGCGTATTATTTATTTTTTAGTATTTGTCAAGCTTGTGGCCACACTGCAAACTTTCCAAATTCTCCAATAATAGTTCAAATTTTAATTTCGACATAAAATCTTGATAATCGCAGCTGAGCTTTAAAATGTTCATAAAGCAGAACTTTTTTAGAACTCACTTCCCCAGTGGAAACTATGGCAAATAAAAAAGTTCAACATTTCACGAGCTGTTGAAATTAAAAAACTAATCCACAAGAAGGCGAGAAATAAAAATGCAAGCAACGGAGGCGGGTGAAAAAAAAGTAAAAACAAATATACCGCCTCGAAATGAAAGTATTAATAAACCAGTGGCCGTTTCGCGAGAGGCGGACGCCGGTCGGGGGATATATAGCCCGACTACTGGACATCGGGGGCGGGGCATGAAACAGTTATTTAAAAAATAAGAGCCGGGCTTGCGCGGCGATACATACGTAAAATTTTATGCGCACTATAACTTGTTCGACTGGCGGCGGGCCCCCAAAAGAACAGGACGACGTGGAAAAAGGACAGCCGGCAGAAGCGGGAAAAATAAATTAATATTTTATCTAGAGCAGAGATTCGCTTGCACTGGCCACGCCCACCGACCCCCGCCTCCCGCCTCCCGACCATCGCCCACTCCCCATGCATTTTGTTTTGCCATTTTATGGCCATCATCAAAAGCGCATTAAAATTTTACTAAGGCGTCGTGCCGGAGGAGTTGATGTGAAAAAGGGGGAGGGTTGCGAAGGAGGTGGGGGGTTCGTGGGGAGGTGGGGTGATTGTCCAGGCGTGCTAAATATTAAATCAGCGCAATGCCAGCAACACAAAAACAACCACAACATCGGGAACGGAGGAAGCAGTCCGCCGAGTATACCGGGAAAACATTTTAAGCGGCTTTCCGCAGGTCCATCAACGTCCTTTTCCATCCGTATCATTTGGCCCCACAAAGGACGCAATAATGCACGGGAAAGGCGGCGCGGAAATCGCATTAAATATTAATAATAATGTGTGCTTAGTTGCGATATCAAAACATTTTGTGGTCAGCTATTGTCTTTTAATTTTTCATTTTTATGGTGCTGACATTTTAGCAGTTCTCGGAAAAGCTATTAAATCACTGTTGTGAGATATCATCAATCTAAAGATAACCGAAGTAATGAAACCAAAACAATAAAAATGGCACGATTAGCTGAATTTGTGAAATATTGCACAATAAATCTAAAAATGCTAAAATAGTATTTTTTGATAATTTTTCTTCTCAATTTTCACTGTCTTCCCAAAAAGCTCAATCATTATAATGATGGTAACAACTAAGTATGAAGCACGCAATTTTTCTGGTTAACAACTTGTGCCAAATTATGGATAATCCCTGATCTTGCAAACATGTTTTTCACATGGAGTTCAATCATTGTTATGGTTTGTTCAAAAACTGGAAGTCATTGAACCATGCGCAAAGAGAAGAAATAACAAACGCAAATTGGAGTTCATTCGCCTTGCAATTCCCTGTTTTGGTTTGGTTCTCCCCGTCGGATAACCGCAGAAATTCAACAAGTTTTTCGCTCGCCGTTGTTTTTTTGCCATTTGAATTTCTTATTGACCCATTTCTTCAGGGCAAAACACAAGGCGAAAGAGTCGAAGCCCGGGCCCAAAACAGAACCCGAACCCGTCCGAAGCCCATTTAAACCGGTTTCGAATCATTTGCAACACTTTCTGGCTGCAGCTGCCAGGAGAAGGTCGCTCCACGGGGGAAAGGGGGGGAGTAATGCCTCTTGGCCAACTGCAAGATCTCCTGCCCCTTTTGCAAGTGCCGTTAGTTGTTAGCCAAAAGCGAGGCAAAGTAACCAACATAAAAAAAGGAGAATCGCGGCCCTTGAGAGGCAAGTAAGTTTCAACAACTGGAAAGACGGGTTTTTTTTCGAATCGTTCCTTTTTTATGTGCATTTCCTTTGAGGGCAAGACTTTGCGGATTTATTAGAGTCGAAAGTAAAGCAAAAGAAGGAAACAAAAGAAATTAAATCCTGGCGAAAGCAAAACAAA